GCGATCTCTGACTACAAAAGTAGTGTGTGTAAGAATTGAGATTTTTGCATTGATAAATTCAATCTCCGGTGGTGCTAGCCATGTTTTGAGTGCTCAGTAGCACCTGTGCTGGTGGCGAGCCTGTTATGCTGCTCAGAGAGTGAGAGGTGGATGTAGCTGGGGTGGATGGAAGATCAGGTCTCCTGGGGGGAGGCAGTCAGTTAACAAAGTGCCACTGGGCGCTTGAACTATTCCTAGAACCCCAAAGGCTCCTTAAATGCTGAATCACAGTCTCCATTAAAACAAGACCCTTCAGGGATTCTCATAGACACCCATGGATTCATAATATATAGATACAGATATCTCATAGATTCATAATATGTAATTGGAGTCTTCAAAATCTGTTGATTGAACTGGGAAAGAGTAATTCCAAGTAAAAGTGAATTGCATTAGCTAATAGAGCTAAATACAGAATATCAATGTTTGAAGATACTTTGAAGGAGCTGGATAGAAAACAGTATCAGGTTCTACTTCTTCAGTATTTCTTTAATTCATCCTTGACCCTAGAGCCTCCCCTAGCAATGTAAAATAGTAGAATGGTTAAGACTGTTGTCTGGAATTGGAAAAGACAGGTTTCAGAGTCTTCTCTGCAGTTTACAACTATGAGCACTTTTATTAGCCTCCCTACTAAGCCTGAGTTACATAACCTTGTAACAGTGAAGAAGGACTTCGTCTTGCTTGGATCCACATGTGTAGTCAGGGACCTCTCCAAATTATTGAGGAGCAGTGATATCAGTTCGAGGACTAAGATATGCCTGGTAAAAGCCATGATCTTTTCAGTCACTTGTTGTGCGCCTGAGAGCTGGACTGTGAATAAGGATGGCAGAAGAAAAATGAATGCTTTGAATGCCTTTGAGCTGTGGTGTTAGTGAAGAGTACTGGATAATCCATGGACTGCCAAAAACAAACATACAAATGAAAACAAAATCCAAAAAGCAAAAACAGGTATGTCTTGAAGAAGGTGCAGCCAGAGTGCTCCTTGGAGGCAAAGATGATGAAGCTTCTTCTCACAATCTTTGGCCATGTTGCTAGGAGAGGCTGTTCTTCATAGAGAAGCATTGTGCTTGGGAGGTGGAGATGTTGCAAAAGAAAGGAAGACCCTAAACCAGGTGGACTGACATTGACCCAGTGACTGCGGCAGTGGGCTCAAGGGTGTCGTAAATTGTGATGATGGTGCAGGATAGGATCGGGTTCAGATCTCTTGTTCAAAGAGTCGCTATGAGTTGTACTCAGCTTGACAACACCTAACAAAAACAAGAGACTCAGCTCATCTGTAACTTACCCCATTGGGTTATTAGGTACCAGCAAGTGAGCCAAGACCCTAACCCTAATCTCGACCATTCTTGCAGTCATGGCATCAGGCCAGCTCATTGAGGATCTTCCCCGGCTTTTGCTGATGCTCTCTTTTACCCAACATGGTGTCTTTTTCCAAGGACTAGCACATCCTTCCTCCCCGCCCCCACCATACTGGAAGAATGTGACACAAAGTTTCACCATCCTGGCCTCCCAGGAGTAGTATCCTGCTTACATTGTTTCTCCAAGATAGATTTGTTTGTTCTGCTGGCAGTCTGTGGGGTAGTCAGTGCTCTTCTCCACAACACCGCAACTCAAAAATACTTGTCTTCTTCTGTCATCCTTTTTCATTATCTAACTTTCAAAAAGAATTGATTCTCTCCTGAAGATGTGTGGTTTGGATCTACCAGATGCTCTGCTGGAGAAGGAGGAACAATCCCCTGTGTCAGTCGGATCTGATTCAATGGTACACAAGAAGAAAAGAAAGGAAAAAAATAATTGCTTCTTCTTCTGTCATCCTTTTTCATTATCTAAGTTTCAAAAATAATTGATTGTTTTTCTGTCTTCCTTTTTAATTATCTAAATTTCAGGGACATAGGAAGCTATTGAAAGACCATGGCTAGACTCAGGCACACCTTAGTCTTTAAACTGACATCCTTGTTCTTTTACAACCTTGGAGAGCTCCTTGACAGCAAATGTTCCCAGTACAGCATGGGGTTTTTTTAATTTCTTTGTTGCTGTTCTTGGGGGGTGTGTGTGTGTGTGTTTAAAATTTTATTTTATTAATTTTAATGAACATTTATAGAGATTTTGGATTTCCATTCGTTCATTGTTTTTTGTTTGTTTGTTTGTTTTATTTCTTGACTCTTGTTGCCATGGTTGTTGATTATAAATCCAAGTAAAATGAAATCATTGATAATGTCAGTCTTTTTCTCTGTTTATCATGATGTTGCCAATCTGTCCCGTGGTGATGATTTTTGTTTTCTTGCTGTTGAGATATAATCCATATTAAAGGCTGTATTTGATCTCCTGTAGCATGTGTTTAAAGTCTTCTTCACTTTCTGCTGACAGGTTTTTTTGTTTTGTTTTGTTTTGTTTTTTGGTGAGAAAATTTTATTACATTTAGAATTAGCCCGCTGGACTCAGTTTAGATGATCCCAATTTTGTTGGCAACATCCAAAGCATCATAATCAGGAGCAAGTTGAACATAGGCCTTCTTCTCTCCATCAGGCCTAATCAAAGTGTTGACCTTAGCCACATCAATGTCATAGAGCTTCTTTACAGCTTGTTTAATTTGGTGCTTATTGGCCTTGACATCCACAATGAACACAAGTGTGTTGTTATCTTCTATCTTCTTCATAGCTGACTCAGTGGTCAGGGGAAATTTGATGATGGCATAGTGGTCAAGCTTGTTTCTCCTGGGAGCGCTCTTCCGGGGGTATTTGGGCTGCCGTCAGAGTCTCAGCATCTTAGGCCGCCGGAACGTGGGTGACGTGCGGATCTTCTTTTTTTTTTTGGCTGTGGTCGCCCTTCAGGACTGCCTTCTTGGCCTTCAATGCCTTTGCTTTGGCTTCAGTTCTGCTGACAGGTTTGTGTCATCTGCGTAGCAAAGGTTGTTTATGAGTCTTCTCACTATCCTGATGCAATATTCTTCGCTTAGTCCAGTTTCTCTAATTATCTGTTTTATACAAAGTACTCAGTAATCTTTTAGACTCTCGCAACCCCTTCTCCACGTTGTTACCAAAGTGCGCTTCTCAGACATACATTTGATCATATAAGCTTTGCATTCTGGCTTCTCCTTCCCTGTAGAATCTGTCTCTTTCCAGCCTTCTGTGCGGAGGCTCCTTTTGTGTTCTGCTTCTTTGCCCCCTCCTCATCCTGCCTTCTCTTTGGAGTTGGGCCATTTGTCGAATCAGTAATACTGTATTCCTAGAGTCTTCGGTTTGCTGATGTTTCTGTCTTTTCAAGACCTAGTTCAACTGTCACCTTTTTGAACAGGCTGCATCCACACCTCACCCCAGATGCTCTCTTCTCTGGCCCATGGCCATTTCTAGTCCTTCAGTATTTATCCCGTAACAGAAAACAATGAATGAATGGAAATCCAAAATCTCTGTAAATGTTCATTAAATGTTTCTCCCTTTAGATAGTGAATTCAGAGATCACTGACTCATCATATCTGTATCTCTAGCACCTATTACTTTTCGAAGGGACGCTTCTTATTCATTGTCTACTAGGGAGCCCTGGTTACCAAGTAGTTAGAACTCTTGACTGCTAACTGAAAGATCGGCAGTCTTATCCATCAGCAGCTCCATAGAAGCAACATTTGGTGGTGTGTTTCTGTCAAGATTACACCCTCCGAAGCCATGTGGCCTGTTCTGTTCTACAGAGTCGAATCGACTTGGCAGCACACATAAGTTGAGTGCTGTAAGCTTTCATAGAGAGCTCTGATGACCTAGTGATAAGAAGCTGTGATGCAATCCCAGAGTCGCACAGTTCGAATCCACCAGCTGCTCTGAGGGAGAAGGATGGACATTCTCCCACGTGAAAACCTACTAGAGGGTCAGCTGTGAGTCGGTTCCAACTTGACAGTATACACCACCAGCACCAAGTAATGAAATATAACCTTCTCCTAGGTAATAAGCATATGTCTGCAAAAAAATTATCTGTGGAACACACACATCTAACAAACAGAAGTACAATGTAAGAATGACACTACAAAATAAATACAAGACTTGGTATGCCTTTTCCTTTAGCTAGCCTTTGCCCTTCTTTCTAGAAGATTACAAAATATAAAGCTATTAAGATAATAAAAAAGGGGGGGAAATCGCAGTTGTGCGGTGACTCTGACTCAGTGCCCTGGTGTGTGACAGAGGAGAGCTACTCTACAGTGGACGGGACAGGGACCTACAAATGCAGGAATGAGAGGAGGGAGAGAAGAGCCCTTCATTAGCACACGGACCCTTAAAAAATTTTTATTTGCATAGTGGAGAGTACTTGGGGTGTGGGAAGGGCAAGGGGGGATTGTATACCAATGAAAGAATTTTTCTTTTAATTTTCAAAGAGGAGTGAACTGGGGGTGGGGAGAGGTGGGCAGGGAGAAAACAATGAATGTAACAATGAAGGAATGAAATCCAAACTCTCTGTAAATGTTCATTAAAATTTATAAAATTTAAAAAAAATTTCAAATTCCTTTAATCAAGACTTGTACTTAGCTGCTTCCTTGAGATAAACAGTGAGCTAGGGCCATGAGAGGACAGGTCACTGTCCACAGAGAGCTAGTGTCCAGGAGAGGAAACGGGCTTTGTCAAGTGATCACTGACAACAGCCGGGATGCCGAGCAAACGCGCAAAGAGGACGTGCACTTCTGCAGAAGAGTCAGGAGAGGCTCCACCACGCAGGCGAGGCTGCTGCTGGGAAGGGCGTGCTTTCAGGGCGCACGATACGCGCCTTCCCAGGGAAACACACTCATAGCTGACCCTCCCGTAGGTTCTCAAAGGCAGTAAATCACATACCAGGAGATTGTCCATCCTCTTCCCATGGAGCAGCTGGTGCCTTCAGGTGGGCAGCACGGCTGCTTATCAGTAGGCCACCAGAGCTCTTGTCATATTTCATAACATTAGGGCGGAGATAAACCTGACATTCCTTTCCTTTCAGGCTATGATGTGGTGATGCCAGCCAGGCTTCTGAGGACCGTGGGCAGACCTCACGGCATCCTGTGGACAGCATGTCAGTGCCACACGCGTGCTCACCTGACGGCAAAGTCGCTGAAGGAGTTCACCGCTACCATGTGCAGCCCCCTCACCGTCAATCAGAACCTGCCTTTGCCCTTTCCTGACCCAGCCGCTCAAGGTTCACGTAAGTCTCCAATCCTGAAACTGAACCAGAGAATACCAAATGCAAATACCTTTCCCCCAGTAAATGCTGTGTGTGGCACCGAGGGGAAAACACACCTTCCAGCCTTGAACATGTTTGGCATTCACGGAAGCGTGACTCATAAACCAAATCTCCTGGGTTCTAAGTGGTTTATGGAGATCCTAAAGAAGCATTCCTCGTCGGTATCAGCTGAAACAGTTGTTCCAAAACAAGACGTTCCGCAAATCAAGAGACCACTCAAGGCATCCCGGACCAAGCAGCCGTCCAGGACCAACCTCCCCTTGCTGTCCATGACTGAGGTAAAGTCGGACCTGGTGTGCACTTTGTTTAGTCGTAGTCTCGCTCTCTGCCTTGCACCACAGCCTTCCTGCTGAGGAAAGAGAGCGGGTGGCCAGCTTGTAGTTTTCCATCACAGTGCTTGAAGCCCAGACAGGCACACCTCAGGCAGAAGAGAATGAAGCCAGAGGGGTTTGCGTTCTCGTTCTTTGAAGGGAGGGCATTGATGGTCCTGTGTTACAACTCTCCCCTTCTGTCAGGAGACCTCATGTCAGTTCCTGGCCAGCACCCTGCATGCGCAGCTATGACCCTTCTGTCAGTGAAGTGGTGGCTTGCGTGCAACTCTGGTGCTGGGCTATGAAGTAAGACAAACTAGGAAGATGGACCTGGGATCTGCATCAGGATACTGGCTGGTCCAAACCCCGTGGGTCACGGTGGTCCAACCCATGCACAACTGCTCAGGAGGAGGACATAGAACCAGATGGGGGTTCTTCCTGGGTCCCCATGAGTCAGGGGCTGACTTGGGAGCAGCTAAGAACAGCCCCTGTTCTTTGAAGCCTGAGGGAGTCCTGCGGGGGGGTGAGAATTTCAGAGCAGCAGATTGCACTTCCCCTCCGAATAGTCAGCAATTTCAGGGCTGGGATTAAACCTTCTTAACCTTTTTATCTTGCTTAGTACCACGAAATGCACCTTGTGTTGTTGTTGTTAAGTGCCGTCCAGTTGTAGGTGACTCATAGTGACCCCATGAACGAAAGTCCTCGACACTTGCGTGCGTGACTTTCATCTTCTCTCCAGGTTCATAGGGTTTCCAGAGGCAAGCTATTTACGGAAGTGGATGCCACTCCTGCTTCCAAGCTTGTTTTAATCAGTGAGCTCCACCAAACACTGTCCAGCATGGGTAACTGTTATTGCATTTGACTCATCAGTGTCACAGTGTTCAGCTTCACAGCAACCACAGGTTACCTCTGTACGGCAAGTGGACACACCAGGGCTATACAACCTAAAAGACTGTTTGAACAAAAACAATGAAAAACAGGCCTTAAGGCTGTGGATTAGAGTCACCCCCCTTTGGCTTAGTAGCATCACTTTCGGTCCACTAGGCCAACTGGTCTCTCTCTGTGTTAAGTGCCATTGAGTCATAGGCGACTCATAGCGACCCTATGAACGAAAGTCCTCAACACTTATGTGCAAGACTTTCATCCTTTCTCCTGGTTAATAGGGTTTCTGGAGGCAAGCTATTTATGGAAGTGGATGCCACTCCTGCTTCCAAGCAGGAGTTAATACATTTTTATTCACTCAGAAAGGTGTGAACAAATAGAAAAGCAATCACAGAACATCCATGTCTGTCATTGACATTGAAAAACAGGACGAGGGAATAGTCAGCCTTTGACTTGACCTTCTGAATCTGTCAGAAAACAGGTCAGAATGTCTTGACTGAAGAAGGAGAACCTGAACCAGGTTTCCTTGGCTGTGTGTGTGTGGCGGCAGGGAGGTGGTGTTCCTTGTTATTTTACGCTGCAGTTGACTTCCTTTGAAAAGGTGTACATACCTTCTAGATTAAGAAGTTAGGAATGAAGGACTTTTCTCTTGGATTCTCGTGTATATTTTTACATGGTGTCTTTGAACCCAGGGTGGATATGATGAAAATGTTCTGTGTTACGCCACTTTCACATTTTTTTAATCTTCCTGCCACCTGATTTTCTTTAGTGTATGAATGTGTGTCTGTATGTGTGGATATGTAAGAAATTGTTTGCTTTTTCTTCACATGTGCATTAATTATGTTTATCATGTTGCCATTTCCAGCATGTATTTGCAAATCTTCTCCATCACCCTTAGCTCAGTGTTCCCTCCCTACCTCCTGATTGTGAAAGTGTATTGCCTCGTGGTGGTCTCAGGAAATCACACGCTGAGTGACAGAGATGAAATGAAGTAGCATATACCCGAATGCCTATACCAAGCCATTGTGTTTGCACTTGCTTCCTGTGCATGTGATGATTAGAGCGTGAAGAAGGGAGGTCGAAGAATTGATGCCCTTGAATTGCGATGCTGGTGAAGAATATTGAATTACCGTGAGCTGCTAAAATACGAAACAGATCTTTTCTGGAAGAAGTGTGGTCAGAATGCTGCAGAGAAGCATGCTGTGGCCTTATTCTCAGGAAGGGCCAGTCCCTGGGAAAGACACCGTGTTTGGTAAAGTGGAGAGTCAGTGAAAGAGAAGAAGATCCTCAACACAATAGAGTGGCCCTGTGACTACAGCAGTAGGCTGAGACGGGAGGAAAAGGCAGGATAAGAGAGTTTTATTCTGTTGTACAGGGGGATTGCTGTAAGCTGGGGCTGACTCGACAGCACCTAATAATAACCACGTCCCTGGCCTCATAGCAAGTAAAGAGAATGACCAACTCTGGTTTTTTCTTTTACTCTATGTGAAAAGAGCAAGAGCCGTGTGGACATGGCCATATCTGACCTTTATCAACTTCACAAAAGGAGACAGCCCCCATCAGCAACACAAAGTCTGTTCCCATGAGGTCAGACATGTCCCCCATCTCCATCTCTCTTTCTACTCAGCCCAACACCAGTCTTACTGATTTACTGGGTCCAAACTCTGATGCAGTAGGTCACAGTCCACACAGAACAATATTGGGTCGGAAGGCTATAATTCAGGTTAAGTAGCAGAACACAGTGACGATAGCTTCTGAAATGTGCTTGCAAGCACCTCAGCCCTGAGCTTCGTGGCTTTAGGCCAGTGTTAAAAGCTTGTAACCAAAACATTTATGCCTCAGCTCCCTTCACTCCCAGTCCTTCAGTTGTCCAGCAAATGTGGGCAGAGGCTTTTAGCTCTAGTTCCATGGGGGGTTTAGGGGGAGCAGTCTGCACTCCCATTTCATGTTGGGTCTCTGGTCCTCTGCTTCGGCCATGGCTGCTGGGGCTTTAAGTCTAGATGGCAAGAATCTCTGATCCTGAAGGGCGCCCACTGCATGCCTGCTTCTCCTCAGCTGGCGGTGAGACTTTGCTATTGCTTCTGGATCCGCTTAATGTAATGGCGAGCAGAGACAGTCCCCCTGTGGGTAGGCTAACACCCTATTTGCATAGTCCCACCCATTCACATGGCAAAGTAAATTAATGGCTAGGGAAGTAAGTTTGAATGATAAGCCTTTGAGACCACACTGTTTAGAAGCAAGCACAAAGAGCCACTCACTGCCGTGGTTGGCGTCCAAAGGCCAGGCCGATAAGCAGAGCCGTGTTACACAAGCATGTTGCAGAGGCAGCTCAAACCTCAGAATTGCCCCCTGTGGTGCTGCGCTCTGGCACCCAGAAGCCTGCTCAAGCAGATTTGGGGTCCAGTGGCTGGACTGGAGACAAAGCTGGCAGCTCTGGGGCCAGGGCATCCAGCAGAGCCAGGGTCAGGAGGATGATGAGGGTTGCTGACCATGCCCGTAACTCCTGCAGCTGCTTCCTCCGCAGCCCCAGCAGCTTGCTGTCACCCTACAGGCTGGGGAGAAACACCCCCACCCCCAACACACACACACAAGCAGTGCCCTGCTGATCTGGCCTTGGAATCCACATCTGGGGACAACAGCTGCTTAGAAGAGGAGGGTAGCAGCCTAGGCTGTGGAGGAGGAAGCACTGATGTCTGCTGCAGCCCTCAGGCCCGTGTTATCCCTGGGACCCTCCTGTTGCAGACCACGGTCTAGGGTATTTGAGCAGAGGGGAGTGACAGCAGTCTCCCCTGCCACAGCCTCCTGGACCCTGTCAGCCACTCTCCGGCCCTTTCTAAAAGAGCTCCCTCAAATCTGGCTCAGTCACCTCTTTCATAAGAAGAACAGCCAGGGTGTTGCCCCTGGTGGGGTAGGACCAGCAGGAGGTCTTCTGAAGAGCCAGCTATTTCAGCTGTGAGCCTGGCAGTCATGGGGGCTCTGAGGGCTCGGAGCAAGAGTTAGGGAAGTGGTCTAGATTGATGTGCAAGATAGTTGTATTGTAGATATTTTATTAGTGTAAATATGTAGCATCAGATAATGAGATGAGAAGTGTGAGTAGATCTAATCAGGGGACCTACAGAGAAACTGACATGGCTACATTATTTATTGTAGTTGTTGTTGTTTTCATTGTTGCACATTTTCTTCCCCTCCTTCCCCCTCTCCCAGCTTTTCTTGCAATGCACCCCTTGTTCCAGACTGAATTGGCAGACACAGAACAATTTCATGAAACAACATATGAGCAAGACCCTATGGTGATGAAAGAAGAAGTTCAGGCTGCTTTGAAGAAAATGGCAAAAAAAAGGCTCCAGGAATAGATGGTATACCAATTGACATATTTCAGCTAACAGATGCTGCCCTGGATGTGCTCACCAAGTTGTGCCAAGAAATCTGGAGAACGACCACTTGGCCAACTGACTGGAAGAGATCTATATTTGTTCGTATCCCAAAGAAAGATGACCCAACAGAGTGTGGAAACTATAGAACAATCTCACTGATTTCACATGCAAGCAAGATGTTACTGAAGATTATCCAAAAACGACTGGAACAGCACATCAGCAGAAAACTACCAGAAGTCCAGGCTGAGTTTAGAAGGGGTCATGGTACTAGGGATATTGTAGCTGATGTTAGATGGATCTTAGCTGAAAGCAGAAAATACCAGAGGAATGTCTATCTGTGTTTCATTGACTATGCAAAGGCATTTGACTGTGTAGATCATAACAAACTGTGGCTGACTCTGAGAAGAATGGGAATCCCAGAACACTTGATCGTGCTAATGCGAAACCTATACTTGGACCAGGAGGCAGTCGTCAGAACAGAGCAAGGGAACACTGCATGGTTCAAAATTGGGAAGGGCATACGCCAGGGATGTGTCCTGTCTCCATACCTTTTCAACCTATATGCAGAACAGATTATCTGGGAGGCTGGGCTCTATGAGGAGGAATGTGGGGTCAAGATTGGTGGACGATTTATCAACAATCTGCGTTATGCGGATGACACAACCCTGCTTGCTGAAACTGAAGAGGACCTGAAGCACCTGCTGCAGTGTC